GTTAGACGTAAATAAACATTTATTGTAATAGCCGGTACAAAAGTCAAGATATCTATAAACATTCCAAAAACACCACCATTTTCAGATCCATAACACACAAGTTTTCGTACAAAACTGTTGCAGGAAATGTCAACGGTAGAACTCTTAATAAAAGGCTATTGGGATAAATTTTCATTAGAAAGGACAGTCTAACATGGAAAGTAGCATGTTAAGACTCGCCTTAATTGCTACATAGTTTTCAGTCAGGACTGGAAGTAGTAACACGTATCCATGAAGTGGAGACACAGATGATTAACCCCACTAAACGCGAAGATATTTTTGTCCATAGCCTTATTCTAAATCCCCCCCCCCCCTCCCTGTTCTTTTGCAAGTAACAGAAGACACAACTTTGTTCCCGAAACGAGAACGTTTTCAAGCACATCGTCTATGGACGTTATCAAAACCTTTCTGTTTAAGGAACTAAGTTGTGCATCTCCTTGACATGTGTCTTCGTCACGCAAATTATAATTAGTAACGCTCAGTGGGTAAGTAACCAGAGTGTCCGGGTACAAGAACGCACGCCTTCTTCTTGGCATTTGGATGACTTCCCGAATTGGAGCTCTTCACTTGCAGGCTTTACGGATTAAGCCTTTCCATAGGGTGGTGGAAGTCCAGAGGGAGCAGTAGGAGTCCTGCGACAATCGGCCTCCAGCTCCGAATCGGTGACAGAAGGCTGGTGGTCCAGCATCCCTTTGTACAGCGAGTTCGCACAAACGAGCAGGTAGGAAAAGAAGACTGAAACCAAACATATTGGAAATCAATATCACATTGGAAAATTTGCATATACAAGAGGACGGTCCAACCTGAATGAAACGGAACAAACTTGTCCCTTTAACAGGAACTTTTCTACAGTCAAATCAGGCCCAGACGCAATGATTTTGTTTCTGAAGCTAAATAGACCGTTCTTGCGAGTCTGGAGGAACACGGTCAACTCTTACACGCAATACGGATTTCATAGAGATTACACCCTCATCTGTACACAGGATTACATGACTAGTGGCCCTTCGCAATTGGTGTTTAAGTTCAAGTGTGCAATTTTTAGACACTTTGTAGAGTCTAACTAAGGTTATACGTCAATTGGTGTTTTGAAATTTTTCATTTTAAATGCATTTTTGGATATAAGTTAACAGATTGTTCTTTCAGTTCCAGAAGGAGATTAGCCATCACCGAAGAAAAGAAAGTTTGGTGAGATGTTCATGATGTCAGCGTGTGCAGAGGCGTGTAAGGTAAGAAATTAGAAATTTTTGCTGTTAAATGCCTTTTTGGTTAGAAGTTAACAGATTGTTTTTTCAGTTCCAGAAGGAGATCAGGCACCACCGAAAAAAAGAAAGTTTAGTTAGATGTCATTTACGTCAGCGTGTACAGAGGCGTGTGTCTTGCTTGTTTTGTACGTTTAGTAAGGTCTTTTTTTAAATTCTTGTTTTGAATAAACATCTTGAAGTATATATGTTCT